TTTGCAGACGTAAAGTTAGAAGTCTGGATTAAATAAAAAATTGATATTCTTGAGGGAAAATGAAATTATTGGTATAGATGGCGCTGTGTGTATTGGTATATGTCACATAGGCTACTTTTTATCCTTTTGTGACGCGAGCGAAGCCACGGGTAAAAGCTAGTAAAAAATAAATTAAATAAGTACCTATAAAGTAATGACCTATAGTAGTATACGAAGGAGGTTTAAATACAGGTTTGTGTCTCGTATTAACTATAGGTAATCTTCAGATGACCCGATGTCCTTGATGATTGCCAACAAAAACGCATCGAACCTACTTCAGGATTAATTACGTCTCTCAAGATATGCATTTTAAACCCAACCTTGACCAAGATGAGTTTTTGAACTGAAGACCTTAACATTAAGGGCATATAAGTTATATTTTATTGCAGCATTTAAATCTTCCTTAACAGATGATTATAAAAAGCAATCTGTTGTTTTGAAACCAATGTTGGTAAGTCAGAAGGAGTCTAGTTACATGCCCGGTATATGGCAATAGGCTCACCCCCTATTACATGGGACTCATAAAATAAATAGTGAAAAGTGGGTGTTACTTTGAAGAATAGAATAGAATAGAATAGAATAGAATAGAATAGAATAGAATAGAATAGAATATAACTTTATTGTACACCATTAATAATACAGTACATACAGAAAAGGAAATGACAAATATAAATAAAAATAATCATGGGCACAAAGGCGGTCTTATCACTTATAGTGATTTCTACCAGACAACCTTTGGGTGGATATAATATATATATTGTACAGCGGCATAATGTGCACCTCTGCCTACCCCTTAGGGATAAAAGGCGTGATGTTATGTTATGTGTTATGTTATGAGTCTAGTTACATTTGCTTTCTAGATATCCATAATACAAGAATCGGTACAAGAATTCCACTCTAACCCATTATTAAGCATAAGACCTTTCCTAATTACAAAGATGTTTAAGCAACTATAACATAACATAACATAACATCACGCATTTTATAGGGTAGGGGGTAGGCATAGGTGCACATTACGGCATGTAATGCCCCTGTACAATGTAACACCCACATTTCACTATTTATGTTATGAGTATTTGTGTAATAGGAGGTGAGTTTATTACCATATACCGGGAACAATTTCAGACTGCTCGCTACAGCTGAGAATGTTTTAAAAACCCAGTAGTACTTCGTCCGACCCGGGATTCGAACCCAAAACCCCTTGCCCGGCACATGCGGCCACTAGGCCAACGAGGCAGTCAGTTAAGCAGCTATAATAAAAACAAAAGGACACAAATAAAACCACAACAAACAAACAAAAACATATTTTATTTCTGGAAACTTAAAGACTATTCTAAAATGACTAGATTCAATTTTGGTTGTTTTAAATTATGCATATACCTAAGCTCGTTTATGTACTAGACCTTCAGAATAAAATTATATTCTTTATAGCTATTATGTTCGCAATGACGTATGTTAATTTGTAGGAACACTAGCATAGACGGTAGACTGAATTTGTAGCGTGATAAGGTCACTGTAATAAACATAGGAAGTATCCAGCTATCAGCTAACTCGGTCATATAATTCATAATTGTTTTATAAGCTACGTTTAAAAAAACCGACTTCACTCCCTCTTCTTTTGAAGTCGTTAGTTAATATACTAAAACCTTTTCCTATGTGTTACAAACACATTTCTGAAAATCGCATCAAAATCGGTACAACCAATCGCGAGTTCATCGCTCACAAACAATCATACATACATACATACATACAGGTTAAATTAACATACCATCACGCCTTTTATCCCCGGAGGGGTAGGCAGAGGTGCACACAGGAGTAACACCCACTTTTCACTATTTATGTTATGAGTCCCATGTAATAGGGGGTGAGCCTATTGCCATATACCGGGCACATTTCCAGACTCCGTGCTACTTCTGAGATTTTTTTTAAAAACCCTATAATACTTTTCCCGACCCGGGAATCGAACCCGAGACCCCTTGCCCAGTAGTCGCACTTGCGACCACTCGGCCAACGAGGCAGTCAGGTTAAATTAAGAACCTTATTTTTCTTAAAGTCCGTTTAAAATACATATAAATGCGATATATAGCGGCTAGACACCTTACGATTAACCTGTGCAGTCGGACTGTACAGTTAAAACACCACAGTCAAATCGTAAGGTGTGTAGCGTACACTAGTTTAGTACTAGTACTTGAATGACCCAGATCCGCTTGTTTTTATTTAGACATTTTCTGAAAATGAAACCTAACTTGATCGGTTTATGAATACAAAATTTCAAGAAAATCGTTGGTGCCGTCCGAGATCGTTGATACATATTATACAGTTACAAGAATTGCTCGTTTATAGGTATTAGATATAGCATACTCCAGATAGAGTAGGTACATCCTAAGTAAATCATTGTTGAACTTAGACTGTCTACATAAATTGTGCTGAAATCTTTGATGTATTAAATAGGACCCAGTTTTGGTACATTCAAGTTTTCTAGTTTTGTTTCTTTTCTGGTTAGTTCGATTATCATTGTATCTTAATTTTTAATGAAGCTGAGAAAAAATGTTGTAAATAAAGTCACTGACGAGATCCTGCGGATCAAAATACGGACGCAGAAATAACTGAGGAAATTATTTAATGTGAAATATCGATTTCCAGTGTAGCAATTATACATAGTCACTACAGTCAGTAATGGTATCCCATGCATGGAAAATTGACAATAAGCTTACCTAATCCAGTCCCCTAGACAGATAAGGGACTCGATCCAAAGGTGGCGAAAAATAGGTGATATAATTTCATGTGTTTTTCAGTAATACACCAGATTCTTTGAAGTTTCCATTTCCATTACATTTGCAGACGACAAAGGTTTCTTGTCCTCATACTCTGACCTCGATTTAAATGATGTAAGACCATGTAATAAATATTTGTTTGTTCAACAATTTCTCTGAAGCTATACCAAGTCTACCTACAACCATTAGAGAAATCCGGTCGTAAGGTTTTTGGGTTACTCTAACTTGGCCGGAGGCTTTGGTTGTTAAACCTGAATATTAAGTAACACGTTACAAGAATGAATTAATTCTCCGGCCATAGGTTTTGTTAAACGGTTTTATTTAACTTCCCCGTTTGTTTGTTTGGGTCTTTAGTAATTCGAATTTTCCCCCCTTCCTGATGACAGATCCTGATGACAGATCTATCTGATATTTGATACACATTCTTAATCATGATGACTATGCAAAATAATCAATTTTTTCCACAACTTTCTCTATTATGGATATCAAATAAAACGATTTGATTAGTAGAGTTCACATTTGCGACTATTTAACCAATAAGGCTGTTTAAAATAGTAATTTTAGAAGTATCTAAAACGACCAGTTTGTAAATACTTTTTATGGAACAATTTACTCCATGTTCTTATTAGGTAATTATGATATTTTAGAATTATTTTTATTATAATAATGTATGGACAGAGGTGTACATTTGGTTCATTCGGAGCCGCGGAAGGCCTAATGGATTGCTGGGGCTCCGGCTCGAAGAGCAGGAGTAGGAACGAGGTGGTTTTTAGAGAGTAAGAGTCTGACACTTTTCTGACAAGGCGGGAGAAGTCATTGGATGAATTTCCCCCCTTAAAAAAAGAGGTGTATATTACAGGCACTTAATGCCACTGCACAATATAACACCTACTTTTCACCATTTAACTATGATATGAGTCCCATGTAATAGGGGGTGAGCCTATTGATTATAAATATAATGTATTATTTATATACGCAATAACACATCATCAATTTACATCTCGTAGAAATAAAATTGATGATGATTCAATGGTTGAATTAACAAATTCCATTTCCTGATTATAAGGAAGTTATTTGGACAATTGATTGATGTTAATAAATAGGTAGATAAGTAGTATTTACATAAATTATTAACAATTCGTTATTGACTGCCTTGATGGTCGAGTGGTCACGAGTGCGACTGTTGAGCATGCATAATAGTGGCCAAATTCTAAGTTTCAAAGTTAACTAAAAATGACGAGCAGGCTGCGCGACGTCGCCGCGACCGCGCATGCTGCTCATGAAGAAGAGTCGAAGAGTGACTCGAAACTAGTAGAGCTTTTCTCAATATATTTACGTTAGCAACTCGTAGTTGTCATAAAAAACAATTTTGAAGTTCAACAAATCAATAACACTTACCCCTGGTAATAAGTATAGTAATGATAAATAGCATAATAATAATATAACAGTATTACGGCATTTAATGCCACTGTACATTGTAACACCTCACTATGTTATGAGTCCCATGTAATAGGGGGTGAGGCTATTGCGATATACCGGACACAATTCCAGACTTTGTTAAAATATTAGTTATTTGCTTTGCCACTTTGTCCGACCCGGAATCGAATCCAAGACTCCTTGCTCAGCAGTCGCACTTGGGAGCACTCGGCCAACGAGGCAGTCAGTGATAAATAAGCACCTGAGATTAATTTGAACATGAACTGAGTTAATTATACAACATTATTGATATCAACTACAAGTCGTGATATGATTTGTTAATATTAGTGCATTTAATTAAACTAATTTGTGCCTATATGTACTTAATTAGAAAACACAGCCAAATCCATTTCACTAGTTCTTAATTATGTCATAGACAACTAGATAACTATTTAAGTTATAAATATTTTTATTTAAGTACATGGATGGCCTAAATCAAAATGCAACGATCACACGTAGGTGAGAAATAATAAATAATAAATAAATATATGAATCGTAAATGGTAAATTGTTCGTCAAATACTTAGTTCCTACAAAACGTTGGCTATTAATTGGGCTCGAAATTCTTCTGAAAACACTATATGAAAAGTAGTACACTATAGGATACACTATAGGTACACTATAGGGTCTATCTTGTTACAATTTAAAGGTATGTTTTTAAAAATGACGTCATATGAATATACTTCATATCCTTATTCAAGTACCAGAAATATTAATCTTTATACTTAGTAAAATAATCTAATATTTTCGCATAAACTAGTTCAGGGGCGTTATAACCCCAAACATGATTATGATGACTCCAATAAGATTCTGGCACTACATAATTTTCTACTAAATTCGGCAACTTTGACGCTAAAATATCGACATCTTTTAACTTAGATAAAATATCACTTTCAGCACTAACTAGTACAATCGGTGACGATATTCTAGAAACATTATATTGCGGGGGTCTGCGAGACCCATACCGCTCCAAATTCCCAGCAACACCCTCATCATACCGTTGAAAATTCCCACTTAAAATCAGCTGAGAAAAATGTGCCAAATTCTTTATTGACGTCCCACTAAACAAATGTGCCATAGCCACCGATATATCTTTCAAGGGAATGGTTCCTTGCTTGTAACCAGTTGTTAATGAAAGCCCTAAATCGCAAAAATTAGGAGCTAACACACATAAGTACTCAACCACAAAATGTACGAGGTGCTCTCTACCGAACACCTCATTTAATCCTGCATTGTCCACAAAGGCTTTTATCGCGACGTAATTCTGTGCAATTAAACGAGCTATAGGGTTATCAAAATTCTTCATCCAGGCGACAGGACCTAACATGATGGCAACCCTAACCTTATCATTGTACTCTGGCCGCAAAGAACCCATAACAAAGTAATTGGTGCTACCTTGAGAATGTCCAACGTAGAATAACTTGGATTGTCCAGTAGAGCGAAGAATGTAATCGATAATTGCTGGTACATCGAAACGTCCATGTTCGTCAAACGTGTAGTTCCAGTAATCTGGATCTGTGTTGGGGTCAAGTTTAACATGTCTTCTGCCATAAAAGTTGCCTCTGTGGTTCCCTGCCCACACGTCATAACAGTTGCTAGCTAGAACGTAGCCCAAACCCGTCTTTGTTCCTGTAAGCACCCACAAGTCTGCCGTATCAAAGATTCCATGCAACAAAAACACTGGATATGATTTAGCCGAGTCACTGCACTTTGGTAATATTCGAAACACATCCAAAAGGTATCCATCTTCCGTAGTCACTGTATGTACTTCAGTGGGATACCCGTACTTGTCGGTAAGTTCCGTGAAGTTTAAGTATACATCCTCGTTGAACCCCAGGGCCTTCTTGAACGCTCGTTTCTGTGGCAAGGAATACGATACGAGCCTAGTCGGCCGAAACGTAGGCCTTGATGTGTCGATGTGGAGGATATATTGTGTCAGGAACAAAAAAAGGATCGTACATGTGACTGAATGCTGTTCCATCTTGATTCTTGTAGCGCGGAAAGTTTAACAACGTATGTTTTCATTGTAAACCAGTATCCAGTTTTATAACATTCGATTGACCTTACAGGAAGGTCTTGAAGATAACTACGCAGGCGTATAAAAAAATTAAAGAATATTTATAGAGATGATACTGATGTTTTTATAACGATAGATCAGCATACAATGTGACAATCTAGTGATGTGAACGTTTAAATTGCTCTTGTGAACTTCCTCGCATAATTGCCAATTTATGTCATTTTTGCGATAACTAACTTGTGCATGATACAACAACAACTTGTCTTAATAAAACAGCAACATTAATTTAACAATGACCTTAAGTAACAAGATCTTTTCAGGAAATGGACTTGAGTCATTAATTTTTGTTTTTGCAAATCCGTTGTCGATTGACAATCTCTGTCGACTGTTTTGACGACCATTAACCATGAATGTATGTATGATGTATTTTATTTTAAATATTTTTGTACATATTATAAATAACTATATCCACTAGAAAAAACAATGTAAACCCAATCGTTTTACAGGAACAATCGCAGTATTTTGTCTGTCTATCTGCATTTAAAATTTTCACGGTCAAGCACTATGGCATTTAATTTTTCTAATACATTTTTTGCTGGCCTTCATTGTAAAGACTTTACCAATATTATATAATGATGAGGAACTGATGGTACGTTATTGTATCTCATGTATAAAGTTTCGTGCAAGTACGTTTGTACTGTAGTTAGAGTTAAATTTTCATACACACACGTGTATATACAGTGGGTACAGTTTCTGGTCTTCTTATTGTATTTTATTTTTTTGGGATATAGGGTAAGCGAGCAGACGTATTACAAGGGTGAGTGATTAGTGATGCCCATGGACACATGCAAAACTAGAAGAGTTACATACAAATTCATTACCGGCCTTTTTGTTATTACTCAAACTGTTAAACATTTGTTTGGAACTAAATTGTGGTTGAGATCTGAATCGGATACTGAAAGAGAATATAGGATTATAGTATTAGGTGCTTACACTTCTTTTTGAGGGGCGAAAATCATCCAATACGTTCTCCCGCCCGGGTGAGGCGAGAGGGAGTGTCAGACTCTTATTGATTAAAAACCACCCCGTTCCCACTCCTGCATCTGTTATCATTAATATATGTTTTTGTTAAAGATTATGTTGCACAAACCTAACTGAATTAAACTGGATAATGATTTAGACCAATCAGTAGTCGACACTCATCATCTTCGTATTAACTAGTTATCCACTACTGATCATAGGTGAACTCCAATCATCAGAACGGCCGATTAACAAAAGTCACTTCTACTCCCTGCAGCCTTCAAAATCACATAAGAATGTAAATAAAAATCATTAACAATAGACATAAATTCTTACTACTATAACAACTTATGGGCTATAAATTGTATATCCATGTGGTTTGCAAATGACGTTAGAAGTCAACCTGGCCAGCCTTGAGATTATTGTAGGTCCGTCCTGAGAACTTAATACGAGTTTGTTCCACGTTTAAATTAATGAAAACGAGTAACTACGCGTGCGGCGCTCTGATTGGCCGGCTCCAATGAACCAACCAATTAGAGCGTCGAACGCGGTCTCGTTTCGATTACTTTAAACATAGAACAAATTCATATTAAGGCCTCTGATTGGCTATGCAACGAGAATGTTAGGAATTTTGTGGTTCGGCGTCAGTCAAACGATTGAGAGATTAGTGCAGTGTGATTTGTAGTTGTAATCATTTGTTAATCGCAATACAATAGTTGACACCTAGTCAACTTCGATACTTTTATTGTTTAGTCAAAATTTTATTGTTTGATTGTTTTCTATGAATTTTGAAGGAATTACGAACATATAATATCATCATATTTTATGGTCAACTATTACTTTTTTTAAAATTGGCGAAAAAAATCGAAAATTTGGTTTAAAGTCAAATCAATGAATCAAAATATTATTCTATTATTATAAGTTCATATTTTATTGCATTGAAAAAGCGAAGCGATTTTTGACCTAGAAAATTACCCAATTCAGTTATTCAGTATAAGTTCTTTACCGGTAGTTGTCCAATTTCGTTTGTACAATTTTTAAATGATTCCGTTTATTGTAACGACATATCGAAGCAAGCAGTCGAAGAGACATACAGTCCATATGCCACGAAGGATGCACATATTACTGACTCTAAATAAGAGGGGTGGGGGCCATTTCATTCGACCGTATTGTCTCAACATACCCATATTTCACAGGCAAGAGAATAAAGCAATTACTTTCAATAATAAACAAGAGTTATCGAACCTTATTAGACAGTGTGTTTATTTACATGAGTACACAAACCTATCAAATATCGAGACATTTTATTCGAACTCAATCAAAAATCGAAATAGACCTTGAATTATATAATAGCAACCTTGTCGCTTTATATAACAGTGTCAGCAGAGGACATATATATAAATAAGGAGACAATATACATAGGCACTATTTAATAGAATCTTATTATATTAATTATAATGCGTGTAAGTAGTTATATTACTGTATAAGACTAATTATTTTTCTTGCCTTGACCGTGGTTTCATTGATTTAAGGGGACATTCTACTGATTTTAATTGCATGAAGTTGGAGATAGTTATTATGGAAATTACATAATTATGTATGTACCTACAGTATGTACGAAAATTAAGATTGATTCAGGTCAGAGCAGCTGGCTACAGAACCGTCCAATGGTTACAAAAGATGGGGCTTTATTAAAAAACATTTATTTTGTGTAATAGTAGCTACTGTATTGAGTCAATCTTTAATTTCTTGCTTGGATACTGAATCAGGGATTTGCAGACTGTACTAACAGCTTATTTTGTCAGTGTTAATTGTCAAAGTCAAAGTCAAAATCATTTATTTCAATTAGACCAGTAAGGCACTTTTGAACGTCAAAACAAAATATTTAAATATTAAATAATAAGAAAAAATAAGAAAAAATGTCAGTCTGTAGGTCAGTCCTCTAGTGAAGCTATTTGCTCGTTCCAAAGTGTAGATTCCTATGGAGAAGAACGAGCAAGAAACTCCATAGGTTACTCTTTTTCAATCATGTTCACAATACAATTTTTGGTTACATTCTTCCGTTGAGTTCAATAATGTGAGAACAATGTAATACCAATATTTGGTCAAAGAGACGGAAAAAGAAAATAACCTTGAGGACAACAAATTTAATACAGTCTGGAGCTGACCAGTCCCATTTGACAGCGCCCGTTCACGAACATGACACGTACACCAGCACCGCCCAACTCGACCATGTTATAGGGAATCGAGCGATCCACTGCCCGTGCCACTGCCAATGAGACTTTTGAGTGAGCATGACAACTCCAAGCTGACACACATGCATTCTACTAGTCTAATTTAATTTAGTTAGTTACAGGGCTCTCACATTTACAATACTTATATAAAGTTTTACAGTGTACATTTGAACAATTTGACATGATTGGAACTCATTGGAACATCAATGTTTTTCGCTATCCTGTGGAGCCGGACCAGCATGCCTCCAAGCATTTTTATCCTCTATGTAATCATTAAGTTTGTAGTATGCTTTCCCACATAACGTTTTTTTAACATATAATTTAAATTTTGACTCATTTAAATGTAGTATTTCCTCCGGAATTTTATTATAGCATTTAACACAGAATCCCATAAAGGACTTTTGTACTTTTGTCAATCTAAATAGTGGCTGACTTAGTCTATCCCTATGTCTAGTTTGATAGTGGTGTCTGTCAGACACTTTACCAATTTCCGTATATTATCTTTTCATGAAATAAAATCTTTTCGATGATATTATTACTATGTTCGTACATACATTTTATACCTAACTGTAATAAAAAGAAGGATAAAATCTTTATACTTTGCAAATTGTAGAACACACAGGTTCTCTCAGTGTTGGTGTTGCAAATTTCCAGGTCCAAGTATTTCGTCAGGAACACTATGCTATACATACCTCTTGGATACGAAACCAAAAATAAATTCCTCAAAGAATTTCAGTCAATTAATTAAAAATCTTTTAAAAAAAAAATCGCGAGTTACTCACGTGAATATACTGAGAAAAGCTCTACTATAGTTTCAAACACAGCGGGTTTCTTCCTAATGAGCAGCGTGTGCGGTCGTGCGATGTAACGCAGCCTCATGAGGAAGAACCCCTCTGTGGTTCGAAACTAGTAGAGCTTTTCTCAGTATATTAACGCGAGTATTTAATTTAGTATGTCTCACTATAGTTATCAAAAAAAACAATTTCAGTCAGTGCGAAAGTCTTTTCTTATTCATTGTAAACCTTATTATTATATAAAAGTACTGAGTAAACAATTAGAATTTAAACTTTATTTTGTAACCAATAACTCACAATTCTGTTTAAAAAAATCCAAACAGCATCGCCTTAATTGAGATAATTTTTCCAATGACCGTGATATGAACTCTGCCGCCTAACCTTGTTATGTGTTATGAAGACATTCATATAATAAATTAATATCTAACAGTACTTCCGTAATGACACAATGAACCTGTTTTTATTCTGTTGATCTAGTTATTAAATAATGACCTAACTTTTGTCTGACCTAATTAGTCTTAAGGGACTGTTACATATGTTCTAAAATAACATGCTAAAAGGTACATTTGAACAAATGTACTCGAAAATGTACAAAAATCAAACGCATGTCGATTCGCAAATATACCTCAAATGCACATGCTAATTTTGAGCAGTATTCCGATACACATGCCACTGAATAACAGGTACCCAATTGAAGCATGCCTTTCGTACTTGAAATTACCATGTATATTTGAAATTCTTATTCCAGTTATAAAGAAATATTTAATTATTATATTTTCAGCTTACTCACGTAACTGTTTGACGAGGAACTCGACTACTTTCAAGCCATGCTAGAGGCTCACATTCATGAGCTGTATTCCGCGACACTCGACGAGGCGACTGTCGTGCTGCTAGTCACGTTTTAATATTACCAAAG